GGGGGGGGGGGGAGGGGTAGGCGGCTCATATCCCTTTCAATCGATCTCGGCTCTTCATCTGGCTTGAGATCACAGCAAATTTATCTGACGTAAGTGATCATTTTACATCCTATTATCGTGCCCTTAGACTGTACACGGCTGTTATTTTGTGCAAAATTATATTGTTTAGTTCTCGTTTCAGAAACCGATTAAATAGGAACTCATATTTATATCAAGTGTCACTCAAAAAGCTCTTTGTTTGAAGCTCTTTCAAACAATCCTGTACGAGGATTGCGGAGAGTTCGCCCGTAGGATACGTGTAACCTAACTTGATTTGATCCATTCCCAACAATCAGACTGCATGAACACGTTCACAGTCCAGGTATTGTCCACAGTAAACATGTAATGGAAAGTTCGTCGATTTCTTCGAAAATACTCTCGCGCGATCAGCCATGCAACTCACGCGGAATACCACGGTGAGTTATTCGGACTGAAACACTGTGAGGAAACGCAAAGTTGGCTGAAGTATTTGTCAAGTGGTAATGACCCTTTATGTCTAATAATGTTTACTTCGTTTTTAGTTCGTGTATATGCTACGATCAGTTTCCAAGAAGAGGGCTACGACCAATCAAGGGCTGGCAGGGGAAATACACACAAATGGGGAAAAGCGAAGGCCATCGTGGGTTCGAACACAACTTCTGGGTCTTTTTGTTCGTAGGAGTGGGAAAAATGAAAACAGAGTACGACCCCTTTCTTCGTCGAGTATGGAAAACATTTTCTGCAGTAGAGCATCGCATGGTATATCTTCGGGCCACTCTTAAAACCAGTTCAAAGATAAATCACCGGTTTCCGCAGTTTCGTGTTGTGTGTACTCATCGGTTGCACTAGCGACTTTCATCCAAACGAGTATGCCAGCGGCACCCCGCTTGATTCAATAGTGGAGTGGCCATGTTAAACAATAGTTCGATCGCTTCACACTTCGTGGAGTCAAACCACATTTTTGATGTGGTTTAGGCATTTCGCGCAACGCGGATGATCAAATTGGGATTAGGAAAAAGTTGCATCCTGGCCAGAGCGGAAGAGATGGGAATCCATTAACAAAATCTCCCCACCCCACCTCGTGCTCCAGAGCACAGTTCATAAAACCACTTACGTTCTTCATGATCCGAATCAATGATTTTGGTTGTCGTCCGATTCAATATCACGCTTAACCTATCGGGGCTTTTTGTGGCTCGCCACTCCAAATCCCGAGCCTAAGGTCACCGGTTTCCATCAGTGAACAGCTGGTCCTCGTGTCTATGGGGTTTACCTCGTCTGCTGTTCATCACACTAAAAATGTGTAATAAAAAGAAATACGTGAGCAACATCCGGTCATGAAACAGAAATTTCCGATTTTTGTTTGATTAGTCTGTTATCAATCCCTGGTGAACAGAACATTAGGCAATCGATGTATCACCAAAAACGACCAAGTTTGTTACTATTTCCCTTACAATTACAAAAATGTTCGATTATACACAGGTGCAATCATATTCTTGGGGTGAATTCATATTCGTGATTTGCCAACCGTTCAAACAGAATAGCATGTGCAACGAAACTTTATGGTTTGCATGAGATGAAAGGCTGTACATTAAGAATGAATCGCGGAGCATGGTTCAACTGTTCCCAGCAAAGAACAGAACAGAGTCTAGTAACAAGGGAGAATTTCACCGAGGAAGATTTTCTTATCACTTCCAACGGACAGCAAGATAGGCTCACGCGGGTGGAACGCCGTCTCGTTCACGGATGCGGTATGACCGGGTAGTTTGTACACCAGTTGTCGACTAGGCACATCCCAGACGTGCACGTAACGATCACCGCTGCCGCAAGTGACTCGACGTCCATCTGCGGACCAGGCGCAACGAAGCATGTTCTTCTCGAACGTGTGCTGGTGACCGACAAACATCTACAAATTGTTAGAAGGGGAGAGAGAGGGGATTGGGGGAAAACCGAAATTACAAATAAAGGACTATTTTCAGTTATACAAGAAGAGAGATCGAAGTTACTACCTTTCATTAGCCTAAGATATCATAATTTTCACATGGCGGTGGCGTGCAATTCACACCTAGTTATTCACCCAACGTTATCTCTGATGCATTGCGAGAATTACTTAAGACAAAATGAGTTCGCAATGCTGAAGATATTCGGTAACCTAAATGAGCAACAAAACTGGCAGCTGAATATTCACATCACCTGATGATATGGGTAAATTTCAAATATTTTTGATTGCACACCATTGTGTGACGAATAGCCGGTAGAGAAAAGCCCCTAATCATGATAATCTACTGTTCGTTAGCGATAACTGGCAACCTAGGCCCAGGCACTTGGTGTGACGGACCACGTAGGGCTCCATTAGGATGAGTGTGTTATCGAACCGAGCTAACTACCATTGTTACTTGTGCGATTCAGCGCCATCCGAGACTGACGGAAGAATGGGTAAACATGATGCATTGGTGATTAGAGGAACCAAAAACCATTAATGACCTGCACATGTCGATCAATTCAATTACTTCTTGAACTTAGGTCCAAGAGAGGCAATATCCACGGTTAGAGAACCAATCGGGCATTGATACATTGGGGTATTTAGTACTTTGGTCGATTCGATTACTTAATCACAACATACCTGCGTGCGATAAACTATGCGCTACACTAAGGACTATGAGTTTACCTCAAGTGAAGTTTCCTTTCTTCTGCTCTGTTTCACCTGATTTGAAACCTAATATCCAGTCTGCTTGTATTAACTCAACTTTATTTTATCATAACACAGACTGTTAACTGAATCTCATTCGAGAGTATTGTGAACAACCGAAAGGAGCACGGCAGGAGAATGGCAAGTTCATGGGGCAACAGTAGGACGTAGCTACGCTCACAAATTGATTAACAAATACAATTGCAAGAAGTGCATTTCCAGATCGCGAAAAGAGAACCACGGGCAACCAGCAGCCTCAAACCAACTATAACAGGGGACCAAAACTTCTCGCATCCAAACTCGTATTCGATTCAGAGCTTGTAACCCGGTCGGCAAGGCACTCAACAACAAGAAGCGCGCGTCGTAACAATCATCGTGAGGATAAAAAGGCAACTAAATGGATCAACTATGGTACACGAAGAAAACGTCAAAACCTAGGTTAGACGTGTCTGTAAGTATGATATGTTCATTCAGCGGACGACCCACCCGGTCAGCGCTTGTTCTCAGTCTCATGAAAGTTTGCCGTGATACTGATGTTTCTTGTACTTTCGTTTCAAATACCTCCTTAACGAATACATAATTATACAAACATATATTCAGGACGGGGGAAAAGCCAATCAACGGGCTGTCATGTGATACAACTATATGAGGAAATTTGGGTAGTAGTAGTTGAGTTCGAACACACGACCTTACCGGCGACAAGTTGGTGACCTCACCAGCCTGACCGAATAAGCCATAAGCATAATTGGGTATTACAGGGTACGGTGAGTGAGCCATATCAAATTACAGACTTGAAATGATCCGCGTCGGCGGAAATGAATACATGTCCCATATCCCTTATTCCTTATCCAAAATCGTAATATATGCAAACTTGATACTATCACGTACCTTGGTGTTATTCTATCTCACATTCTTTCCTCGTGTTGAAAATACTTTTTCAATTGTTCGTGGTTGTTCGTTCACTCACTCAAACTTGAGATAATTATTGTTCCGTGAAAAGTTATCTGCTCGCATTCTGGCCTTTTCTCCAGGTTCATGAACTTTTTTGTTTACCCTATTACGCGCTCAATTTAAGATATTCCGTTATCAAGATAAGATAGTTCAGAAGTTCGTCGTCGCACCGCACAAAATACCACCAGTCTTGTGGCAAAATATCTTGAACGGGCGAATTTCTAATTAAAGAGAAGAAAAATTATAGGTGGTATGGCTGTGTGTAAACGTTTGTTGTATATCATACGCAAATCGTGCGGTTTGTGCAGTCAGCGAATCGGCGTCGTTTTCCATTCCATCTTGCGAACAGATCATTCATCAGGGTGACAGTGATTTTACACGGATATCCTGTTAATGACTTAAGATCATCAATTAACGAGTTGGATTATTGCCGTAGAATTTCCGGCGAAGTCTGACAGGAAGGATGTGATCGCAAGTCATAACCATAGCTACATCTTCAAGCTATATGGTCTATTCAGTGTGTTGCAAAGTGAACCCGAGCGGTCAGATAACCTCGTCATGTTTTAGCGTAAGATAAGTAAGAGGAGAAAAATAAAGACACAAGAGTTACAGCAAGCGAAGATCAGCATTGAAGCGTCCAATAGACAAACTGATATGGTATTACGGCACAATGGACGAAAATATTTACCTCATTCCAGGTGCTTCTCCAGGTTTAAAATTTTGCACATATTCACCACTTACCTTCATACAACGTTCAGGTGGAGCGAAAGGTCGGATATCCCACAGGCGAAGAGTGTTGTCCATTGCGTTGGAGAGAAGGAACGAGCCGTCCGGACTGACAGATAACCCGGTCACGGTGTCTGTGTGTCCACTCAAAAGAATGGACACGTCTAATTTTCGGATGTCCCAACCTTTGACCACATTGTCAATACCACCGGAGAAAATCATCTCGGCGGTGTCGTTGAAAGTAACGGACAGAACCTGAATAAAACAGATTCGAAGAAACAAAAAGAAAAGGCCAATAGTTTCACATCCTGTCACGGAAACGATTAAACGAGTTGTTTTACAATATGTGAACAGAACACTGTGTTAGTTGAGTGATATTATTCACGATTGACAATACAGCGGTGAATCTGAGACCAGAAGCACCAGCTTTTTCGTCTAGCCAGACATATCAATTTACTCGTAGGTTTAGAAGTCCCATAAACGACGCTACATATGATCAACTTGACTGGGTAAGTTTATTATCTTCTGTTGTTTTTCAGGGATAAGGCGGATGTCTATGACTGACTTCTTGAAGCTGAGCAACCCTCACTAATAGGCTTCCATATTAATTTTTGAAAAGACAGAGAAGCGAATATGTTCAATTACAACAATTACAATTACAACTTACTTACTGCAAGATTTGAAGACGCAATTTTGTTCTTCTGTTAACACATTGGTCACAACTACTACTCATTAAAATTTTCGAGAGGCATTTGATTAGAAATTAAGAGATCTCCCGTGATTTTAACACATCTATTAAAGAGACTGACCATTGGGATCCAAATGAAAAGCCTTTGAAGTTTCAAGAAAGGTTCGGAAACGTTCGTTGATAACGGTGTTCTAATTAGCCAAGATTCCCAAAAGGGCTTTCAGTGCGAAGATCTTCCGTTTTATACTAATGGAGAATTGCAGGAAATCTTTGAAGCGAGAGGATAGCGTTTTGTAGTAGTCGAGTACCGACTAGAACAGCGGAAGAGTGGACACCTACGCAACAATAACAATAGAAAAGGGGATTTCTTGAAAGGAGAACAGATGTGAGGAAACCCATTAGTTCGTTAAGCATAAACTAGTCTGAAACTCCACATAGAACATCAAATTCTACGATAAACAAGTTAAAATTTCGACAAAAATTAAGCCAACTTTTGTCACCCATGTATAAGAAAGGAACACAAAGCTGTCTTTGAGGTCCTACAATGGCCAATTTCAGTTTTCTTTAAGTTTATTTATATGGTCATGTAAAGGAAACCGGTAACCATGATCTGCTGTATTGCCTTGCACTGGTTTTAGTTGCTATCCTTCAGCCACCCATTTGGTCGACCAGTGAAGAGGGAGTAAATGTATCAGGTAGAAAATGAAGATTATCGAGCTAAAAAGTACGGAAAGCATGCCAATCAGATCTGGCTGGAAAGGGCTCAGATACAACCCACATGACTGAGTTTCCTGATCACGGTTTTCACATACGCACACCAGGTTTAGGTTTGCCAACCTTGGTCTACTACGTCTCTTGTCCTGCTTCAGCTTCAATATTCACAACCATCAACCAGGCATTTTCATGATCCGGTTTTGGTTGCTGACTTCTGGCTGCCCATTTAGATAAAACAGCAGAATGAAGATTGGAAGAAAGCATCGCACATCCAGAGGGCCTAACTGCTGCCATGCGTAACACATCCCAGCCGCCGCAATCTACCAAGTTAAATCACTAGCGTCGATGACGAAGATTACTAAATACTTAGGTCTAAATTGGGCATTGCTTATCTAGTTATCGCTTTGGCATCATGAAACGCGGTGTAGACAACAGGGCTCGAATACCGATAATCAGTTTTCATCCTTCTTGGCACGTTTTAGCCTGTATGTCAACATTGGCCGGATAGTTAAATGTCGCCCAAGGTACCTCGAGTTTTCGAACCCTAATTGAGCCTTTTTCATGCGTACCGGAACTTCACCCGAGTTTCTTTTTCTAAGGGACATGTAACTACCCAGTTAGCTAATTGTCTTATATCAAATGTAAGGTAAGAAATGCCAAGTTTACTTCCTACGTGCGCTCAGCGCCCCGACTCCATATAACGAATGCTCCCTTAGTTTAACTTTTGGAGACGATTAATATTTACAACGGTAGGATGAGGAAAAACAATAAGCGTATGCACTGTGAGATTAGATGATGTCAAAATAAATGCAGTTTTTAATTAATTTCATTTATTTTAGTACGATTACTCACCAAGAAGTACGATTGGGCGACCGAGTAGTACAATAGTCCACAACGCAGACAACTATGAACGTTCTCGCTCGCATGATTTCGCACTCTAAACCTTCAACAATCTAAAGACTTTCTACACCGTACATACCCTTTTGCCCTCTCAGCCTCCGCCCCCCCCCCCCCCACCACACCCCTACCCTCCCAATTCTATTCCATCTCTCTCGGGTACTTCAGACGATCGCGCTAGCAGCAGTGCCTCGGGCGGAATTTCTGTCGCTGTTTGTTCTTCTCCTACCTCGACTGCTGTCCAAGTCTCACCGAATCCTCCACCTGATGAAGCCCTTCTCCTCCCTCGATGTCCTTTCAAACAAACCACATTTAATGTGCGTACTCTGATGCGTATAGAACAGCAGGCGTGTTTAGCTCGTACGCTCGAAACCCTAGCCATCGATTTGTGTTGCATCCAAGAAACTCGCATTCAAGACTCCAGCTCCATTATCCGATTGACGTCCCCATCCAACCAATCTCTGAAGTTGCACTTACGCCTCTCCGGAAACCCTGAGGCTGCGGCTTCCGGTCTTGCTGGCGTCGGCGTAGATCTCAGTGAGAGAACTGAGGCCGTCCTCCTGGATTGGATCCCAGTCGACAGTAGGTTGTGCGCAGTGAGACTCAGAGGTTCATGCAAGGAAAGCAGCCGTCGCCACGACAGACGAAACCTGTTTGTCGTATCGGTGTACGCTTCAACAGACTGCAGCCCAAATGCAGTCAAAGATGGATTTTACCACAATCTACACGACCTCTTGCGTAAAGCAACCCGGGCTGATATCGTGATTTTAGCAGGAGATATGAATCCTAGAGTAGACCGGTTGACTTCGAGTGAGGTGCACTTGGGAGGTCCTTTCGGACTAGATTTCTGTCGTTCGGAAAACGGGGAGTGGCTGTTGGTTGTGTTCCGACCACCACCTGTTCATCGCCAGTACGAACTTCAGACGCTCCAACTGCCGGTACGTCACTTAGCGCCCGCCCTCCTCGAGTCAGAGACGGATGAAGATCGACCACATCGCGATAAGCCACAAATGGCGGGTCAGTATTCAAGATTACCGTTCGTACTGGAGCACTCCCCTCGAATCCGACCACGCATTAGTATGCGCTAAGCTGTCCATGTGCTTCGGTGGGCGTCCCAAACGTACGACACAACGACGGTTAGACTGTGATAAGCTGTACAAACCAGCTTGTCGAACTGTCTTCTAAAACACACTAGCTGCAAAGCTAGTGCCAACTCCACCCGATGACGTTAACCAGCACTGGTCGCTCACCAATAATACTCTGCATTCTGCTGACTTAGTTAGCTGTAGTCTGACACGTCATACCGTGACACCCTGGATCTATGCAGTCTCCATGCCTTCTTGACGCACATCAGTCTATTCCGACCGGCAGAGAGCATAATCAAACACGACTCGTAACGAGACGTGAACTTAAAAAACTGTTCAAAACTGTCAGGAGCATGTGCCTGCACTCACCATCTGTGGTGATCAGCTGGAAGTAGTTGAGAGCTTTAAGTACCTCGGGAGATTGATCGCAGCTGGTGGGGTGTTGGAGGATGAGATCACATCACGAATAGCGAAAGCTAAAGCAGCTTTCGTCAGCCTGCGACAACTGTGGCGCCAACATGGCATCTGACTGTACGGTAATAAGAGTTTCGTTTTTTTCTTCCTCTAAGGCATGATTGGACGAAACTTCTGGGGTATCCATTTGTGTGTAATTGATGGCACAAATGCATTCGTTCCTGATTACAAAGTTCCTTTGTGCTGCAATGTGTGTCGGCACGGCGGAATAAATTGTATACACAGCTTCTAAGGTGATACATGGGGTGATTGCTGTTGTAGTTCAGCACCTGGTCTGTCGTTGTGGGTTTTATGTACACAGTGGTTTCTGTTTCCGTCTGGTTTTCTTATGACGAGGACGTCTACGAAAGGGAGCTTCATGTCGTTTTCCTCCTCGCGGGTAAACGTTATCCCTGGCATAACATTGTTTAGGGTATCATGGAATTGTTTGATTCTTTCTGCCGGTAGCACCACAAAGGTGTCGTCCACATATCGAACCCAGAGGCGAGGGTGGTATTCTGCAAATGCCTTGGTTTCGAATTGTTTCATCACCGCATCAGCTAGTAGGCCGGATATTGGTGATCCCATTGTTGTTCCTCTCACCTGTCGATATATCCTCCCGTCAAACTGTAGGTATGTTTCCATGCGGAGTTCAAACAGCTCCATGATGTCAGTCACTGATAGTGGTGTTCTT